TTCGTTTCATCCCTCGACGAGCGAATGCTCAGCCGCCATCAACCGATGTGATCATATCACTGATACTCCAAAATGTACGACTACAGTACCATAACCATTGACTAGCAAAATCTGTTGTCGGTGGCGAGAGGGGTCACCTTGGAATTTCATCATCTGTAGATTTTTTTGTCAAGTAGATCTACAGTGAACTGAAAATGACTGAATGGATTTCCCTCAGATGTTTCAGATTTGTAAAAAGTCCGCCTGAACTGTACACTACCGAACTGCGGTATGCCATCAATTGGTTTCTATAAGATTCAGCGTAATTTGTCCTCATCGCACGTTTTAGCTTTATAAACGATAAGTCATGANTCCGGCCTTTGTTGGAAGGAAACCGGAATATTGGTTGAATCCAGGATGGAAGGTAAGTCCTGGGAGATTGACAATTAGGTCGTCATTTTTACCTCCCTGCAAACGCATCGACTGATTTGGCTATGCGTAAATGAAAACAGCGACATCGTCGAGCATAAATTATTCCAGCCGTCCATTTTTTTGAAAAATTAATGTTCACACTTAGTGAGTGATTTACTGAGTGAACAGATGAAGATATTTTGGTCATGACAATTAATGACAACAGATATCAGATTGACGTCTAGATATCAAGAAATAATGATAGAAGTAAATTAAAGAAACTTTTTGATATTGAGGTAGTAGTGGTTGACGTTGAATGCTGAATGGTGCCATCAGACTGTAGTTACCGGTATTGCGAAGGAAGTTTGTAATCATTTGTAACGCTGGGCCTGGACGATCTGTTGGAACGAAATGTCCTGCTCCCTGAATGCGACCATTATTGAGTGCAGTGATCAGAGTAAAACAGTCATGACTTATGGTCATTTCTGGCATGGGTCTAAAACTGCAACGTCGTTCACATTGATGGGTGATTCTGTTTTTCATATTACTTCATGAGTTGGAAACCTGACTTCCGCTTTCCAAAGCTCCAATTTTTTCGGATTTTTTCGGCTGAAACTTCTTCCAACTCTTTCGATTGTGTTGTTCTTATGACTGAGAACCACAGAACATCAATATAAATTCTTAAGTACGCATTTCACTTTGGAATTAGAGAAGCAAAACTGGTTCCGCGCACCAGTTTTTTAGATTTTTGAGTCCCTCGTGCTCACGACGCTCCAGTTTCTGCGAATCAAGTTTCCAGTTCTTGTTACTTTTTGCATGGGGTTAGTAAGTGCAATAAATACAGTAAGTCCAGTTCTTGTCACAGTTAGTCAGTGAGTGCATGACAACACCATCAGAAGAACGAACCTAACATATTCCTAATGTTTTACCATTGTCAGTGGACGCTCTTCTCAGATCGTATGGATTTAATTTATGGAATTGTGTTCTTAAACCCTTAAAAATACTGTCTTTTGGAGGAATACATTTCACTTCGATTAGCCGATGAAATCAGAAAAAGAACGGAGAAGATAGGGGCACTATGTTGTCCGCACAGTACAGATGGATGAAGTGTTTACGACTTCAGTAGTCACGGAATATATGGGGGGGGGGGGGGGGGGGGGAGAGNAGGAGAGAGAGGCCACGGTCACTTAACATCGTTTTTGCGTACAAAGGCCATAATTTGTTGAAGTTTACATTTCAAAGCAGAAAATTTGTTCAAAATGTTTATCTTACGCCCCAGGAGTCACCAAAAAGCCGATCTTCTAACGAATATCTTTAAATATTCTTATCGGTAGCCAATTGTGCCATTATTCGAACCAAACCATCCACTATGCATAACTTTGCTTTTCAATTATATCTCATCTGGACATAGTTGCAACAATGAAGTGTACTAAAACTGCTAAGGTAATCATGATAGACGTCAGTAATGGTGGCAACGTTGTAAGGCGTTGATGGTGAAGGTACATGTTTCCAGAACCGATAATTACGGCCTTGTGGAACGAAAACAAATGAAACCATTTAAAAAGTTGTGTTTGATGAATCCATTAATTTAACAGTTAGAAATTCACCTTCACAGTCAATAAGTCGATGCTGACAGATCCTTTGCTGAAGTGTTTTTGATAGCCTCCGATCACAGGGGAATATTGAGGTGCTAGTTTATAGTACCACGGTTTATGTTCACTCGCTTTCTGGAATATACTAACATGACACACTTGATGTAGTGATATCTAACAGGTCAATCAGTCATGGCAATTTTACATATTGATATTATTTCATGCTCCGGGCGAATGGTATTATTTGAAGCAAACTTTTCATGAGCAACAGGCAGGGCAAACGGCATTGTGCTCATCTTAATTTCATGGAATACATAGCGATAGGTGGAATACATCAGATTTCAAAGCATCTGTTATCTGTTATGAACATGTCGCTACGCTATCACTGAATGGTGACTTGATCTTCATTCCATAAAACAACGTGATGAGATAAATAATCGATGGGAGAATCAAAGATTTATGCCAGAACAAACGGTCAGCTGCAAACGTCGAATACGAGGTGAATGACAGAAAACAAAGTACCATTTTATTNAACCAGATCACTGAAGACAGATTTTGCATGAAATCAATTCTTCATTATTATCGATAGCGTTATAATCACTGTCTGACAGCTTTCTTATCATTCAGCACTTTACACACCAACCTGCAATCTTCCCATGGCTGAACATAATCAGGAACATTCAGTGCCTTTCTAACGTGAACCTGATTCAGATATTGAGCCATCGCACCATCCATGTAACATGGGAACCCTCCGGCAGCGTCGGTAGATACCGTGTTGACGTATGCCTTGAATGTTTGATTCAAAACGCAAATATGCATTATCAAGTGATGATGCAGGGCAGAGCATTCATCCCAAGAGAATTTTTATGAAGCATGTGAACAGAAACTACAGGGAACAAACATACATCAGAGACCGTGGTTTGAATGGTGTGTGAGGAGTGGATATTTGATTGGAATTAAGAAAAGCCCATATTTGGTGAGAAATTTCGTTAAGGTTAATGAGGTGCATAATATATTTAATGACACGCTCATCATTAAATCATGAAATGGATGAAGTA